TATTTTTATACATTACCCACTTTTCACAACACCATCTGTTGAAAAATTCCATCTTTTCAATGGAAAAGTAACCTTTATCATGTAATAAATTCTTGAGTATATTTGGTTTAATAGTATAGGAAAAGATTAAAATCTCACGAACTAACAGAATGTATTCCAGCAATGCAAAAATCGCTTAATATTAGAAAGTGTATTTATGTAACTTATTAGATTGAGAGATCTCACACCCACCATGTTGATAAATGTGAATGGTAAGATCGAATTGACTGAGAGACCAGAGACACCTCCTGATAAATCAAGAAAAATTGCTTATCTAGAAGCTACAGAAGGAAGTCAGTGCAATCAGGATACACAGCAAAGAGGCCAGCAGCATTCTCCAATAACAGACAGAGGACGCTGGCAGATGTATGAGTGCAGATAGAAAGTCCAAAAGGGTGAGAGACACACGAGAACTCCCAGGAGTTCAACCGACACCTCCAAGCCCTGCTTTGTAGACCTAAGGCTGTGGCAATTCTCCTGAGGCTAGAGTCTGATATTCATGAGAAAGCATGTCATCAGAATCAGGTGTACCATCAGTCTCAGTGTCACCCGATGCACACTAGATAACCTGGCACAATACGGGACAGTGTGGCTCATTCAGCATATTTATCCCCCTCAGCCTCTTCAAGATATGCATCCTGTTCCAATTATTTTCCTGAACTTAGAGTTGTGGAGGAAGGAAGATGGTCAGTCTTAAACTTCTTTGGGAGTAATGTTAACAACCTTTAAGGAGAAGACACATATAATTATCTCAACAGATGTAAAAAAACTTTACTAGCAGAGAAAAACTCATAAACATAGAAATTTTAATAAACTAGGTCTTTACCAAGAACCTATAGCCAACATTCTTATGGTGAAATATTAGAATTCCTACAAAGACAAGAATTTCTGCTAAAGTACTATCATTTAATATGTATTAAAGACCCTAAAAATACACTAAGAAAAATAAATTGAAAATATAAATATTAAAAGGGAAGAGGTAAAATTGCAACTTAGGGAGATGTGATTACCTATACAGGAAATTGAAAAAGAATCAACTGATGAACTACAATATCTAATATAAGAGTCTATTAAGGTGGCCAGATACAAGATTAACATACAAAAATAAATAATGTGCTATATATTATAATAACTGATAAGAAAATGGAATAGGAAAAAAATCCCACTCACCATAGCAATAACAAGGAAAAATTTTAAGATAATAATAACAGTAATCATGAGACCCATATGAAGTATACAGTCAAACTTAAGGTTGCCAAAGAAGACTTGAAAACATGGAGAGATAAACCATGTTCTTGGAGAGATTTAATATGGTAAAAAAAAATTAATTCTACCTAAATTCATGTATACGTTTAATGCAACCCCTATTAAAATATTACCAGAATTTTTAATGAAGTTTAATTCTAAAATTTTTCTGGAAAATAATTCTAAAATTCAAAGAGAAAAATATCCAAAAATATTTATATTTAATAAAAGATTGGGGGAAATCATAATCACTGGAATTTGTATTACTATATACGAAAACATAAAGCTTTATTAATGAACATAGTATGATATTGATGTTAAAGTGGACATAAAGATCAATAGAACAGAATAGATAGTTCAGAGTTCAATCCTATTTATATACACATATGATTAATACAATAACTTAAATCTATGGGCAAAGGTTAAAAACGTTACTGGGAAATTTAATAAATTATTTGGAAAAAATAAGGCTGGGTACAGAGACATACCCAAATTTCAGATGAAATAGGGGCTATATACAAACAGAAACAAACTAGAAAGTAGAAGATAAATTGATTTGTCTAGTTAATTAACTGAAATGGGATATGTTAAGAACTCGAGGGTACATAAAAGGCCCTCAATAAATAGGGACTCTTTACCTTCTTGCAATGCCCAGCGCCGGGTTGTATTGTCTATAGAAATGTGTTCAGAAAAGGTGATTCCCTTTGCTCATCATTTAAGTCATCTTTTACAATGCTCTATCCTTGGGTCTAGCCAGGAGCACCTCCTTATGGTAGGTTCTCTATTGTTTACTTTGCAAAGAGTAGCCATCATTTAGAGTCACCGCACATCATGGATCAAGAATGCTCCATTAGGCCTGGATTTCCAAGGTTTAATTTGATGTTTGTGCATGCCTCCCTTGAGTGCCTATGGCTAGCACATGAATGGTTTGATCCATTTCTAAACAGCCTGAGTACTTTCTGAGAAACAGAGAAGAGTACATATTTGTTGTAGTTAAAACAGTAAGCAATCCCAGACTGCTCTCCTACTGGGAGATTAAAATATTCAAAATGACACGAAAGAGCCTATCTTCTTCAGAATAAAGAGAAAATGGACTAATCATTGGGTGAAAGTAGCCTTAATAAAAGTAAAGCATTCATTTGACTAAACTGCTGCTGGTTCTAAAAGATACAATCTGTAGAAGAACTATAGTAAAATGGCTCTTTCTCCATAGGCCGACATAATTTCAGCAGGTTTTTTGGTTATATTTCATGAGTACATTGTTGATGATGAAATATCAATGTAAAAGAGCTTTCAACAGCTAAGTCTTGAAATTTTTCACAACTTAGCCCATATATATACCAACTTCTACAAACGATGTGTACATGTTCTATATCAGTGTGTGCTTGAGTATTTATTCCATATTATTGATGTTTGTTAATTTAACAGGCACGGGCTTCCTTTCTTTCTTTTTTTTTTTTTTTTGCTTTTGGTACCTGACCCTCCAAAATGAGGATTGTTGCATAGGGATGTTAAAGTTATCAAAACCTAATACAGTCTCTATGAATACCCACTCTCTTTAAATCAGCATAGATCTCCATCACTTCAACATTTTTGGTAATGAGTTTCTTAATCACTCTTTGGATGTTGGAAACATCTAATAATATAAATCAAATACAATACATATTGATTATGAAGTGAAATTGGAAATCTTACAATAAAGTCAATAAAATCAATGAAAGCAGTGATGGAAAAAATTCCAATTTATAGATGAAGCTATTGACAAATGAGGACCTGGTGGAATTAGATCAATTAATAACCAAAGAAGAAATAATTGACAGAACTAGTAACATAATAGGCATTTCAGAGACTTAATTGTTTATCAGTGTATTAAGAAAGCATCTTGGAAAATTAGAGCACTTGAGTAACTTTTAATGACTCTTGATCATTTTGCAAAAATCAAACAGGTAAGGAATGGCATATCCTGCTAGTCTATATCTCTTTCAGAAAAGTTACCTTAAAAAGAACCAGTGCTTGGGGTGCCTGGGTAGCTAAGTCGGTTGAGTGGCCTACTCTTGATTTTGGCTCAGGTCATGATCTCAGGGTCCTGGGATCCATCCCCGCATCAGGCTCCATGCTCAGAGGGGAGTCTGCTTGAGATTCTCTCCCTCTCCCTCTGCCCTCCCCTGCCCCCTGCTTGTGTCCTCTCTTTCTCTAAAAATAAATAAATAAATCTTTAAAAAAAGAACCATGGGCGCCTGGGTGGCTCAGTTGGTTAAGCGACTGCCTTCGGCTCAGGTCACGATCCTGGAGTCCCGGGATCGAGTCCCACATCGGGCTCCCTGCTCAGCAGGGAGTCTGCTTCTCCCTCTGACCCTCTTCCCTCTCATGCTCTCTCTCTCTCATTCTCTCTCTCTCAAATAAACAAATAAAATCTTAAAAAAATAAAAGAACCAATGCTTGATTCATTCTTTGTTCTAATAATTACTGCATAGCTACAATTTTAACTTCTGTAAAATACAAGATGAAATACTGAGTTTTATGTTTTGGGTACATTTTTTAAAATATGAGAATCAAGCCTTTTGTTTACTCTGTAACGACATTTGTTCTCTATTTTAAGTCTATTCACTTTAAGTGAGCTTTTTCCAGGACAAATTATTCTCTGGTAATGAAAACCTGCTGTCCTGTAAACCATTAGCTCTACACTGTGGAAGAAACTCTAAAGAACAAATTGAATAAGACATGGTCCCTATGCTAAAGAAGCATACAATTCAGCCGATGTATATCACAGTGCCTCGTTTTCTTATATCTTTCATGACATACACACTATCTTGAGAAGGAAATCAGGGATTTTTTTTTTCCTTAATCCTTTTTCCTTATTCCCAACATAGCTAGTAGTTCCAAGACTGTGGAGACAGTGAGTTTAACGATTGCAAATTTGAGGTGGAATTTTCAGCACTTTATTAGACAAAGGCCGCTTATGTTTTCTTATTTGCATGACATAAAGATTCTTGTCTATTATTATTGTGGTTTGATGGAAAGACAATGTTTATTGCTATCTGAGATTTTTTCCCAAATAATGATGATATAAATTTAGAGGGAAGTTGGCTTTTCTGAAGTTTTATTATGATGTTTGAACATAAAGAGTGCATTTGAAGATTTTTCTCTCATATTGCTCTGTTGAGTTCCTTTTTTGTTTTAGAACTTGTTGTGGGAAAGAAAGAGACTTTTGTTATAGCATTAAAATAATTTAGCTTTTTATCTGTAAGACTGAAAATAAAAGGGGGTGCCTAGGTGGCTCAGTCGGTTGAGTGACCAACTCTTGATTTTGGCTCAAATCATGATCTGGGAGTCCTGAGATCATGCCCTGCATCGGGCTCCACGCTCACCGGGGAGTCTGCTTGAGATTCTCTGTCCCTCTCCCTGCCCACCGTCCCTCCCTCCACTGCTTGCGTGCTCTCTCTCTCTCTCTAAAAAATAAATAAATAAAAATCTTTAAAAAAAGGAAAAATTCTGAATGTCTATGACATGGATGAGTTGTTACTTATATATACAGCTTAGCCAAGGCAGTTTCAGAAATGATCTTCCTACATTACATGATTATCAGTGCCTTTTAAAAATATATTACTAGCGACTGTGCACAGTGCTCCCGGCCAGTACAGCTCAGCGCAGTGTGGCTTAGTGGATCGGATCCCAGAGGCCAAGGGCAGGCTCCTCGAGAGGGCGGCGGAGGCACCATGGAAAACCGATTTACGTATGATGATTATCAGAACACGAGTGAATGGCTTATGTGCCACACCAAGCACTGACCTCAAGTGGCAGTCATCTGTGGCTCTGGGTTAGGAAATCTGGTTGATAAATTAACTGACACCCAGAGCTTTGACTACAGCGAGATTCCAAACTTTCCCTGAAGTACAGTGCCTGGTCATGCTGGTCGACTGGTGTTTGGGTTCCTGAATGGCAGGGCCTGTGTGATGATGCAGGGCAGGTTCCACATGTATGAAGGCTACCCGATCTGGAAGGTGACATTCCCAGTGAGGGTTTTCTTCCTTATGGGCGTGGACACCCTAGTGGTCACCAATGCAGCTGGAGGACTCAACCCTGAGTTTGAGGTCGGAGATATCATGCTGATCCGTGATCACATCAACTTTCCTGGCTTCAGTGGTGTAAACCCTCTCATAGGGCCCAATGACGAAAGGTTTGGACTTCGTTTTCCTGCCATGTCTGATGCCTATGACCGGGATATGCGGCAGAACGCTCACAGGGCCTGGAAACAGATGGGGGAGCAGAGAGAGCTGAAGGAAGGCATCTATGTGATGTTGGCAGGCCCGTCTTTTGAGACTCTGGCTGAATGTTGGCTGCTGCAGAAGCTGGGGGCAGATGCAGTTGGCATGAGCACGGTACCAGAAGTTATAGTTGCAAGGCACTGTGGACTTCGAGTCTTTGGCTTCTCCCTCATCACTAACAAAGTCGTCTTGGATTATGAAGCCAAGGAGAAGGTCAATCATGAGGAAGTACTAGAGGCTGGGAGACAAGCAGCACAAAAATTGGAACAGTTTGTCTCTATTCTTATGACCAGTATTCCACCACCTGCCAAAGCCAGCTAACGAGCCCTGGAGTGGTCTGGCCTCTCCATAATGGGATCCAGGTAGCTACTACACACTTCGGCCCCTTGCTGGGGTCACGTGCCTCTGCCCTTCAGTAGTAGGAAAAGAGAGGAAGATCACTATCCTTCACCTTTCCCATTTCTCCCACCAGACCCTTCTGCACTGGCTCTTCTGCTCAGTTATCTCAAAGCAGTTATCATCTCCTCCCCCAGCCCAAGAGCTAGAACCCAAGCCCTGCTGTGCCTATGCCTGGGTGTGACTTGGGCTGTTGAACTTGGCCCAGTAGCTACTGCTGTCCTTTTGATGTAATGCTTTCACATTCCTGGGGACTTGGTTCTGCCTCCTCCAAAGCACTAGAGCCCACACGAGGGCTAGCCCAGTCTGATACCCCTTGGAGTTTTGTATTACCCTATTTTGAGAATAAAAAGAAAGATGAACTAAAATATATATATATATATATATATATTACTAGCCAGGATTTTATTGTTACTAGTAGCAATTCTACTCTCTACAAAAGCTGTCAAGACATATTTATTTATCATCATAATTTCTCTTTCCCCTTCTACCTCCATCTTAATTCCTATGAGAACAGAGATAGTTGGTTGTGCAGGTGAAGAGTAGTCACAATCTATGTGTATTGTAATTGCAATTTCTAAATAAGAAATTATGCTTGCAGTCTTGCTCAAAGAATGATCTTTAGGATCTCAATTAGGACTTAGGATCTTAATTTGAGGACTAGACATGCTGGTCTGTTTTCTGTTTAAAACAAAGTTTGCTAGAGTTAACAAAACCAAAAAGATTGTGACCCAGGAAAAATACACCAAGTTTGCAGTTTCTTTCTTTTTTTTTTTTTAAGATTTATTTGTTTGTTTTAGAGAGAGAGCATGCATGCACAGGTGGGGGAGAGGGGAAGAGGGAAAGGGAGAGAGAGAGACTCAAGCAGATTCTGCGCTGAGCATGGAGCCCAAGGCAAGGCTCGATCTCACCACCCTGAGATCACGATCTGAGCCGAAACCAAGAGCTGGATACTTAACCCAGTACCTCACTCAGGAGTCCCACCAAGTTTGCAGTTTCTGAATGAGATTGAGAAAAATAAACGTAAAAAACAGACATTATATTGAGTATTTTTTTCATGATGGAACTGTGTGTATACACCTTTGAGTGGTAAAAGAAGATTCTGAGGAGGATCAAAGAAAGCGTCATTGCTCCTTCTGTTACCTTGGTGACCATTTGGTCCTAAACTCAGAAGGATTATTCTCTTTCCTAGCCTTCAAGACTTGATATTCAATCCAAATGTGACTCCTTAGTCATTCTGAGCAGAGTGTAATTTTTTCTTAACCCCACATTTTGCAAACTATCTGGGAGAGTGCTGTCCCCCAAATATCTCCCTCTACGAATCCTAAATGACAAGACAGATAAGACCTTCACCTCTCTCACTCCTGCTGTCCTGGCTTTTCAACTGCCCATGTGGCTCCGTGCAATCTAAGTCTTGGAAGGGCCACATGAGGTCCTCCAGTCCTCTTTCTAGCTTCTGGCCATGACAGCTGCCCCACATCACAGCTGCCGCATTATCTTGAGACTCTCTGGAACTTCTTTATCCTTCCCCAGAACTGCTGCCCCCGATGTCTATCTTTGCTATGAACAAAACTGTCCCCGGCCACAACAGAGGCTCTCTTTCAGTAATGGGAGGATGACTTCTCTGCATTTCTGCCTTTAGTAGAATGCTAGAAAACAGGGGAAAAAAATCTCTCTCAAGGGTATACACTCTACACTTACCTGCTTTCTTCTAGCAGATGGAACAGAGGACTGAAGTCGATTTTTCCATTTCTCCTATTTCGCTGCATGAAAATCTGAGGTAGCCAGGAGGCAGACCTCCTGGCAGACATGCTCCTTGTTCTTCCTGACCCCCTGCTCACCCCCTGAGAGGGAGCAACGTTTTACAGCTTTCAATTCAGCAGGAGGAGCCCCGATTCCCATCCTGATTCCCCACCCCCATTTTCAACAATCATAATAGTTTAATCTTCTGGTAAGAGGGAAATTAATTTCCTCACCATGATGATCCCTGGCCTATAGGCTTAGCCTCCTGGGGCACAAGCAAACCCCTTGTGTAATTTTTTGGGGGGGAATCTGTGTATATTCTGCTGCTTAAGCTGATGTGCATTTTATACTTATTAACAATTATATACAAGCATTATATACTTTTTAACAATTTTAATTTTTAAAATAAAAATTTATAATGACTTAAAAAATTAGTACAGATTTTTATACTTCACCAGTATTTATCAAGAACTATGGTGTATGTTTGATTGGAACTCTTTTTTGGTAGATATCCGAAGAAAAGGAAAGGAAAAATGAGAAGCAGCAATAATTAGGTTGGCCAACATCTTTGTCTTTGTTCTTCATTCTGCTTTATGCTCCTTAATAGGTCATGTCTCCCAGTTGCTACACCCCACAGCAGCTTGTCCCAGATGGCGGTGGGGGCCAGGGAGCAGGAATTACTCAACTTTGAAAGGTTTTTTTCAACATATGGATGAATGGATGAGTGATCATGTGTTTACCTTACTATTTTTAGTGTTTTGTTTCTGTAGTTAGATTACAAGGAGCATAAAAAAGCTAGGCAGCCTTTGGCTTACAGATGTCTGTTACTAGCTATTATTATATAGAGGGTGAAAAACAGAAACAATATGGCAACTATGAATTCTGATTGGTGACACCACAGATCAAATCACTTCTCTACTCTGAAGCCTCCAATTTTTTCCATTTCAGAACAGAACACAACAAAACAAAATGAAATACGAGGTCCTTTGTGTGGTCTACAAAGCCCTGCATGATTTCACTTCTACCTACTCTTCTGACTGTAGCACTCTTTTCCTTTCTTCCTGCAATCTAGCCAGCAACATTAGCCTGCTTGCTTCTTCCTGAACATGCTGGTGTACTCTTATCTCAGGGCCTTTGTATTTACTCTTCTTCAGCTTCGATCTCCCTACCCCCGATACCCACGAGGCTTTTCCCCTCACTTGCTCAGATCACTGCTCAAACATGACCTTACAGAGAGACTTTCCCCAACCCGCCTTTCTAAACCAGTTCCCCTTTCCTATTCCCATAATAAGTTTTATTTTTTTATAGCACTTACCATCTTTTGGTATATGTTTGTGTATTGCCTATCTCCTCAATCAGAACATAAACTTCACGAGTTTGGATTTTGTTGATGGCCTATATTCCCAGCACTTAGAACAGTACCTGGGAAAAAACAGGCACTCAAACAAAGCAGATGTTGTCAGTGCCCCACCCTTGTATCATTGAAGCCCCGTTCCAGCAGCCAGTATCTGCATCTTCAGGTTAAAGGATGGTTTCCAGAAACTGTAGAAGGTCATTTTGCCCACATAGGCATCAGGCTTGAGGATTTACAACCCCAATCTCTGCCAAAGAGCAGCCCTCAATAGATAATTTTCAGCATTTGTTGTACAGATACTCCAGTTTCCTTGTCCTTCCGTGGAGGTTCAGAGTAAGGAGGTGGGAGGAGGACTTCCGGGACTAAGGTAGCTCTCTTAACAACATACTGTTTATTGGCTGCTTTCCCTTCCCAGGATCGTTTCCCCACTGCCCTCCCTTCTTGCATGTCTCAAGTAAATATTTACCCTCAAATTCTTGTCTCAGGATCTGTTTGGAGCAACCTGAACCAAGATGATAAATATTTGTTATTGTTGAATGAATTATTCACTGTGGATTCTGGATATACATTGAGAAACAAGAGTGGAGGGGGGACAGTTGCAGCATAGTTTCAGGTGGAAAGTTAGCTCAGCAACCAAGAGATGGGGCTACCACATCCTAGGGAGGAGACAAGGTGTTTTATATTATGGAAAATAAAAAAAGTAAAGAAAAGGAATTCTTGGCAGCATCTGAGAATCAGTATCTGCAATTGGGGCCTCAGAAATCTACAAGGCTGAACACAGAAACAGATACTCGTAACACTGACTTCATGGGCGTGAAGCCTATGTGGTTGCACAGGGCTCCATGTTCAGAATGACCTTGTACTTGGTTTGAAGCCCTGCTATTGCCATCTTCAAATTCTTAGCAGTGTTTTTTACTTTTTTTTAACAGGGAGCCCTGCACTTTGATTTTGCATGGGGCCTCACAAATTATGTAGCCAACCTGAGGTACACACTATAGTTTCTCATGATAGTTGAGGAAGAGGAATAGACTATCAAGGGTTTGGCATGAGAAAAATAGATTTTATAGAGCTAGGTGGTAGAATTTCCTGCTGGTAGAAATTCTAAGGATCTTCCCGTAGTCTGCTTTAATTAAGAGGACTCATTTCTTATTTCAGATAATTATAACAGCCTTGAAAGCAGAAATAATTGATCTAGCAATATTTCATGATACTGTTACTTGGTATAAATTATTAAAACATTTTTGGATAGATGTAATATATATTACTACTTATAGGTTGATTTATACAGAGAAAAGATACAATTGATACTAGTTAGAAAAAGCACTATGGAATACTTAAAAAAAGATCGTATTTTTCATCTTAATTGACCTGTAGTATTTTGTTTTTGTGATGTGTGTCCTATTTGCTGCTGGTGACTTTTTAGCTGATCATTCATCTGCCTTTCCAGTTGGAAGGCTGCCAAGAATTTTTGATATTTCCAGTCTGACAACTGGCCTATAAGATACTATTTTTAAAATACACCATTTTGTTTATTTCCATTTAAAAGAGTGAATATTTTATTTTTTTTTTTGTTTTTTAAAGATTTTATTTATTTATTTGACAGAGAGAGATAGTGAGAGCAGGAACACAAGCAGGGGGAGTGGGAGAAGGAGAAGCAGGCTTCCTGCGGAGCAGGGAGCCGGATGCGGGGCTCGATCCCAGGACCCTGGGATCATGACCTGAGCCGAAGGCAGACGCTTAAGGACTGAGCCACCCAGAAGCCCCTGAAATAGTGAATATTTTAAATGGTATATTTAAATACTAAAAAAATTCTTTTCATATAAAAAAAGTTACTTGAGAAAAAAATAATGATCCCTTGTGAGAAATTCTAGTTGGTGGATTTTTAAGCGGGGTGGCAAGTAAGTAAAGTATTGCAGCATTTTCCACTAACTAAAAACAGCTGTCATGGGATGATGGGTATTGCATCTGCAGCTGACACCCACTTCAAAGAGCAGGTGCTTGTAGATGGTGAAAAAAGAAAAAGCAGCTCTCATACCAGTCTACAGCGGCCTTCAGGAAGTGATGAGTGGGAGCAATGGGAAGACTGGCTTAGCAGCAGCTTTGGGTCACTTAAGTCACAAGAGGTGCCTCAGGGTACTTAGGTGCTCACTGCACTTTCTCCTGGGTGAGTCTTCAATGTCAGAGGCGAAATTGCTGGGTGATAACATTTATGAAAAAGTAATGACTTTACATGTAAGAGAATGAAGTTGGACCCCTACCTCTCATCATA